GTGTAGTGAGTCCTTGTGAGTGGAGCAACGTGGGGACAGAGGGAGACTGCTAGGCAGAGGGAAAAGGATGTGAGAGGTGGGTAAGCATAATGAGGGTAAGGTGCCAAGGGAAATAATTACAGAGGGAGAGCAGGAGTGAGGTACAGGTGGCAGGTTTGCACCAGGAGGTGAAAATAAAGTGCAGGAGAGCAGGAAGGCAGAGCAGAGAATGGGGAAGGGATCCCCCCAGTGTTGTGAAGGGAGGAGAGCCATGGGCTGGGCTGGGGAGCAAGAGAGGAGAGCTGAGTGTGCCGCAGTCATGGGCTGAGTGTCTGAGCTGGGTATCTGTGCAAACTGTTCATCTTTTGTGATAAAAAAAATGAGAATCTAAGAAAATAAGAATAGGGCACGAGTGACTTCTATTGCAAGACCTTTTGTCGTTAAAAAGCTGCTTTGTTCAATATTCTGGAGCTCTAGAGCCAGAGTTCAGGTGACTGCATGTCACTGTTTACTTGTCAGACTTCCTGTGCTTTTGTTAACAAACATTCGAATTGTAAAAGTGCAACACGCTTTTGTAAGCACAGTAAAAAGCTATTTCTGCAAACTACATTTGAAAATACTTAGAGAGACTGGAAATAGGGCCGCCAGCAATGAATTTCCCTGGGTTCGTTCGCAGCATCACTGCAGGAATTGGGCTGCAAGCACGGGGGGAGCAGAGCAGAGGGCTGAGCTGCGGGGTTGGGGGGGGGGGGGGGGCCCCCCCCCGCCGGGGGGGGGGGGGGCTGCTGCCGGAGCCGCGGGCACCTGCTGCTTTCCGTTGATAAAATAGGGGGAAAAGCTGCTATTTGTGCCGATCGGGCTCACGGGTTGGGATTTCTTTAGCAGAAGTGGTGGCTCTGCCCCCAGCCAGCGCGGGGGGGGGCTGCTGCAGCCCCTTTCTTCTGGAAAGCTCTGCTGCAGAGAGTGAAAGCGGCAGCGCTGTCAGATGGAGTTGTTGGCGCGCATCAGGTGATGGGAGAAATTACTCATAAGAGCAAAGGGTCCGTCGTGCGTTTATTGTGATACAGTCGGGAGCTGCGAGCGTTGATTCGCTATGCATTTGTCAGCGTGTAATACTGAGAGCTGAAAACCGCAGAGGACACTGCCAATGACCCGGCTCCGGTGCTCCCATAGCCTGAGAACTCCGAAAAACTCTCATCTAGGGGGTTTGGGAGGGCTGGGGGCTGCTCAGTGTGCCGGCACTTCGAGACGCAGCTCTGTGCTCCAACCCTGACCTCCGTCCCAGCTAAAAGCGCGCTCAATCCTTTCTTCATTTGTAATAGATACTTGTGTACATTACAAAACCAGCTCACAGTTTGGCAAATTAAGCTGTCTGTGGTTGGCTCCGGGATTGCAGAGATATTGCAGCGCTGCAGCGTTGCATAACGGCTCCGCAGCATCTGCCCTACTCCGCGAGCAGCGGCAGTCCTTATCTCGGGTGGGCATCGTATCCACCCCAGTCCTCAAAAAAAGAGAATTAGTATCAAATATACATGGGGCATGTTCTGCCTTGTGGCTGCAATGTTTTTTCAATTAACTTCTCTGAATGTACCACAATGAAAAGTGTCAGCTTTTTGCCTCAGAGGCCTATAATTAGGTTAAATGAATACAGTTAATTATCTGCCGCCTTCTTTACACAAAACAATACGTTTCTATAAATTAAAAGGTGCATACGGCTGTTCACTTTGCAGTCAGGGTGTATTGCTGTACCAGGGTATCTGATGCATCAGAGCTTTGTTCGCAGTTCTTATTGCAAAGCAGTGAAAGCAAAATCCATCTGAGCAATCTATACCTTGCACATCACAGTAATCAGAACACACCTCGGTGACATTATTATCAGTGACAGCGCCCATCAAACAAGCACTCTTTCCTATTTAACAGCTGTTTTCTATCAAACTCCCTTCGACAGCCCGAGCACTGCGGTACCTGCGGCCACAACGGGACGGGAGCACCGCGGGGCAAAGCGCTGCTCCCGGCATTTGTACCCCCGGCTGCGGGTCCGCCGCTGCTCCCCGTGCGGGCCCAGCGCCCAGAGCCTGCGGGATCGGGCTGTGCCGGCGCCCGGCCCGCAGCCTGAGGGGGGAGCGCTGCCGGGGGGGATGGCGGGGCGTCCCGCAGCGTCCCCGTTCCCATCGCAATGGGTGTTCATAGCTTACGGCCTACGTGGGCTCCTCGCTCACCAGTAAGTTGCTATTAAATTTAGCAAGAGCCCTTCCTGCAGCCGGGAGAGTGCCCTGAGCTGCGCTGCGTTAAGGTGCATTTTACCCCGAAAAACCTCCGACCGCTCCGTTTTCTCACGGACGCCGCACGTCTCGCGCTGTGCGCTCTGTATCCACCCCTTCCAGCTTCCCTCACCCCGCGTTCGGCGCTGCGCGGCGGTGGGTGAGCGGCTGCGGGTTCGGAGCGCCGCGGGGAGGGAGCCCGGCGCGGGGACACAGAGCGCTGCGGGGAGTCGCGGCTCGGCCGTCACCTCCAGGCGGCTGCGGCGTCAGACCGTGTCCTCTCACGGAGGGTGTAACTTCTATTGTCAGCGTTCATAAATACCGGTGCCCCCCTGCGCACCTTTACAACCGCCAGAAAGCCGTTGCGGGGACACCGAGGCACGGGGGAATCGCGCTTCCCCGCGGAGCCGCTTGGGGCTCAGCCAGTGCCTCTCGGAGGCTCGTGTCCCTCTGCGGGGCTGCCGCGGCACGGTGCCCCCGCCCGGCTTTGTGCCCCGCGCAGCCCGGAGCCGAGACCCGGCGCCGCTATGAGAGCAGCCGCAGCCGTCGGCGCTCCCGCAGGTGCCACGGTGCCCCGCTATCCCCGCAGCATTTCTCTCTCTCGGGATGGGCGCAGCTGCGCACGGTCAGGGCTCCTCTCAGCAGCCAGCGCTGCTGCCGGCAGTTCCCGTCGCCGTGCCCAGTTATCACCGATATTATGCCCAGAGGCGACGCGACCACTCAGAGCGATGAAAGCGGAGCGAGGACCGCACCGCGCTGGGAGCTCCCCGCAGCCCGGAGCGGTGCGGTGCGGGGATGGCAGCAGCGGCACTCCGCACCCGGGGGCGGTTTCTTCGCCTTTGAGACACAGGAATGAGCGGCTCGGGGGGTCCCTAAGAGCCGGGGGAGTCGCGCTGTACTCACCGCACTGCGGCTCTTCGGCTCCGGGAGAGGGATGGAAAAAAAAAAAAAAAAAAAAAAAAAAAAAAAAAAAAAGAAGGAAAAAAAAAAAAAAAGGAAAGAAAAAGGAAAAGTAACCCCGCGGTCGGGCTGCGGAGCGGGGCGTCCGGGCCGGGCCGGGCCCCTCGCGGCGGGGGGCCGGAGGGAAGCGGCGGTGGAGCCCGCGGAGGAAACTCGCGAAATAAAATCAGACTGTTAGTTAAGGCGCGTAAATTTAAAAATATTTGGACAGGAAGAGAAAGGGGAAAGGAACCGTAGAGACGAGCAAACGTTTTCGGAGCGGGGCGCTGCCCCCCCCCCCTCCCCAGCCCGGCGGCCTCTGGGGCGGCCCCGCTCCGCCGCGCTCCCCGGGGGACGCCGCAGCGCTCCGCCGCCACCGACATTTTGAGAGCGGGCGGCGGCTCCCGGCGCTGCGCGGGGATTTCGGCTGCGCTGCCCGCGGCGGCCCGGAACCATCGCGCTGCCCGAGGCTGCCCGCTCGCTTCCCTGCTTTCTTTTTTATTTTTTTTTTTTCTTTATTTTTTTCTTTTTTTCTATTTTTTTTTCTGTTTTCTTTCCCTCCACCCCCGCCTCGCTCAGTGCCGCCGTCCCTCAGAATAAATGCAGATTTTTCCTCTCTTGGCTTTTTTTTTTTTTTTCTGTTTGCTCTCCATGGCAATCGCACTCCGCTGGGAAGTGGATATACCGTTGGACCGCTCCCCGGCCCCATCGAACCGTGGGGTGCACGGCTAGCAGAGGCACCCCTCTTTCTTTTAGAGGCTCCAAAGTGGCGCTTTTCTGCTGTTTTAACCCTTTCTTCACAAGAACACTGCAACGGCGTTTCCCACGAAGATAATTCCTCACCCCAGCACGGAACGACTCACCCATCCCTCCTCTCACCGCACAGAAACGCGCACAAAGCCTCACGGAACGCTGCCCTCCCGTTGCCCCCATTTGCTGTGCTGGGGCTCACCCCCAGCCCCCGTTCCCTCGGACCCAAGGGCCGTTCCCCACCGCATCCCTCCGGGATCTGCTCCTTTTCGGATGTATTTCAGCTTTCCCTCTCTCTGTAATTTAGAAGCAAAAGTCAATGAAACAGCTCAGCTCCGCATCTCGAAATAGAGGAGAGGGCTCCGTGCCCGGGGCAGCGTTTTGTTCCCCATCGCTCCGCACCGCACTCGCTGCGGTTATGATGTGCACGGCCCCGGCTGCGCTGCCCCTGGGCTGCTCCTGCCCGGGAGATGTTCTTTTCTGATGGTCTCTGTCACAATAAAAGCTTTTTTAAAAAAATATTTCGTTCCATCTGTGTGTTTGCATCCTATGATGAATGTTATTGTTGACGTTGTCACCAACAGGATTTGTAAAATGGGACTTTCTGCCGCTGTCAGAGCGCGATGAGAGGGTCGTACAAGCCAATTCCAGGACCACGTCCGAGCTCAGAACCCTTTGGGGCAGAAGGATCCCCACTGAGGAGCACCGCAGCACACAGGGAAGCCCCCGCTCCGGTTCCCCGGAGAGTTTCCAACATCCATTCCCCTCCCCGGTGCCAAGGGCGGGGGAAGAGGTGTCAGTGTACCGTATCGCTGCCGAGAGATAGGCTTTGCGGATCGGGAGAGCCGCGCACCGCGCTCCGGGAGCATCCCGAGGGCACCGGGAGGGCGGGGCGGGGGTGCGGGCAGAGCGAGGACGGGGCGCCGCTGGGGCTGGGGGGGTCCTGGGCTGCGCAGGTAGGGGAGAGTAGAGGCGGTGAGCGCGGCCCCGGCGTGCTGCCATCCCCTGCGGGAGTGGGGAAGGGTCCGCAGCCCTTCGGGAACAAATGTGCCAACAGAACCGCGCGAGGCATTGCGGTACACAGAGGTTTTTAATCAGAGAACGCAGAACACAGTGGTTGTGAGAGTACAGCGACGGGATGGACAGGTCCAGGCAATTACTGATACTGGAAAACAATGGTAACTCATTTTGCTGGACCGTGTATATGCGTTTTGTTTTGTTTTTAGAAAGAAAATGTAAAGCAAGGTTGTCTTTTTTGTGCTATTTTGTAGCCAGTCTTTCCTTTCACACTGATATGAGCCCTTCCCATCCTGTGCCACCGACAGTCGGACCCGCAGCGCAGAGCACGCTGAGGTTCCCATCCGCCGCCCCTCCCGCTGCTCCCTGCGGCCCCGGCGGTTCGGCCGTAGGAACCTAACGGCTGTTCTGGAAGGAAAACAGTTCCGGAATTACACTGTTCGTCAGGTGAAGGCATTAAGACAACCTCACGGGTACCTAACGTGTTGCTTCCCAAATTCCATTGCATCCAAATACCTTTAAGATCCAGCTATCATCCCTTTTTATTTTTTTTCCCCAGACAAAACAAAAGCGAGCATCGAAACGACACTCAGCTCAGGCAGGGACGGGAGGAGCTGTAGTATTGCAGCCCCCTCACGCTCCTACCTCTGACCATGGTTATCTGCTATTTTGAAACTGGAAAATAATGTACTTTTCGGCGCGGGGTGCCCAACCGAGCTCTTCGAAACCTCTGGCCAAAAAAAAAAAAAAAAAAAAAAAAAAAAAAAAAAAAAAAACCACTTATGTTGTTTCTGGTAACTAAACTCAAAGGCAGCTCGGTGAAAGTTTAAATACACAAAGTGGAAAAGTGTCATCTACATTTAGAAAGCGAGCGACCTACTCCTACGAGCTCCTGTTAGTGTCAAACTGAGGCAGCTGCCCGAAGCGGCTTTCCCGGGCCCGGTGACCCCCGGCCGGGCCGCTCCCGGTCCCCACCCGACCCCAACACGCGTCGGGCTGAGCCGGGGGGGTGACGGGACGCATGGGGAAGAGGGGGAAGAATCCCCGCGGGTTGTTTCCTTTCACCGGAGCGGAAAGGGAACATTAAGCGATGGATACGCAGTGTTTGGGTTAATGGCTGAGTAATGAGCAGGGATGCATTGCAGAGCCTGATGCTGGAATCCCGGTGCGAGCAGCGGCGTAGGCACGGCGGGGTAAGGAGTGCCGTGAGCGGCAGCAACGTGCCGCCACCGTGCACTGAAATCATGTTCCTCAGCTAAAACCCCACCTCTACAACTTCTCGAACTCACGCTATCGACTATTCAAAAAATATAACAACAACAACAACCAAAAAAAAAAAAAAATAGAAGTAGGGTTGAACCAAAAGTTATTAAAAAGGAGGGGAAAAAAAAAGAAAATAATAAAAGAATGAGGCTGGGAGCCGCAAGGTCCAAGAGGGTCCGGTTCAGTTGGCGTCGGCTGCGGGCGGAGGGCCGCCCTCCATCAGCTGCACCACGGCGCTGCGCCGGTACAGCCGGGCCAGGTCCAGCGCCGTGTCGCCGCGGCGGTTCTGGTGCGCCACGCGGCTCGGGGTGCGCCGCAGCAGGAACTCCACCACCCGCACGTGGCCCTCCTGAGCCGCCAGGTGCAGCGGCAGGTTGCCTTCCGCGTCCTCGATGTTCACGTCGGCGTGGAACTCCAGCAGGGTCTGCAAAGTGTCCAGGAAACCCGCTCTGGCTACGTCGTGAATGACGGCGAAGCCGGTACTGTCCTTCAGGTTGGGGTTCGCGCCGCTCATCAGCAGTCTGCGGGCGATCTCGGGGTTGCCGAGCTTCATCACCTGCGGGACGGAGTGAGACGTGAGCGCCCGAGGGGCTCCGCGCCGCCCCAGCCCTCAGCCCGCAGCTCCGAGCCCTACCGCGGGCGGAGGGGCCCCGCGCACGGCTACAAGCTCTCCTCACTGACCTCGGCAGCGATAGGGGAGTTTTAGTGGCTCGGTGGTGACGGCTTTGTCCCAGAAATTAACGCCTGCAGCGCGAGGGACTTCTCCCCGAGAAGTTCTCTCGGCTCCTCACCGCAGGGACGCGCAGCCCGGCCCGCTCTGCGCGCACCGAGACACCGCCGCACCACCGCTCAGTGCCGCTCACCGTCGGCCGTGGGTCTCCGAGGAGCAGAGACTGCACCTCAGCGATAAAAAATGCGCGATGTGCTTCGATAAGCCCTCGGGTGTTTGCATTGTCTGCGCATTATCATAAAGCAAATATTTGTGCCGTGCCATAGTTCTGGCTGCTAAGAAAAATAAATGCTCCAAGAAATTGTTCTCCCCGGTGTTGGAGGCTCAAAATGTCACCTGGGAGGAAGTCAAAAGGAGTGTTGCAAAGTCCCACACATTTTCTTCTAAAACCAACAAATTACTCTATGGTTATGGATTCTATGATTATATTGGGATTCTATAATTTTACTATAAGCAAACCACGGCCACGTCCTGCTGTTACACACATCTCTATTTCAGAAACGATTGTTGGATTTTTCTGATCGTTTCTTTCAGGGGAAAAAAAAAAATAAAATGCCTCTTTAAATGTTCTCGATTGCATCACAAAATCATTAAAAATTAGAATGCAATTTTTTCTAATTCGGGACATAACAGCCTGCACCGATTTTCACCAAATTCCCCTTTTTTTTTCTTGTTTTGATTTCTCAGAGCCTGTCCGGACTCCACACCCTGCACCCCTCGGGCAGCACTGCTCTGTTTTTGCCATCAGCCGCACTGTGAGTGTCAAATCCGAGCAAAATTCCCCCTGAGTTTCCTTACAACTGATGTGAAAACCTTGTGAAAAAAAATTATCAGCATAAATTAATGTTACAGTGCGTTAGATGCGAAATAATTAAGCAGAATTTACACAAAGCATCTGCCTCCGAAGTCTCCTAGTGAAAAAAATATGCATTTGGCTTTTTAAGGCCATACAAAAAATATTAAAGTTCATCTAATGATTCTTCTAATTAATAAACCTTATTCCTTCCCCAGTGTGGTGCAGGGCAGAGTGGGTGCAGGGAGCAGAGGCTCGGGGAAGCACAGCTCTGAACACACTGCTCTTTCACTTCTGAGCAGGAGTGGGAGGGAAAATAGGAGCAATGCGAGCCCTCCTTTGTGTTGGGAAAATTATTGGGATGACTTAGGGAGTATTTTTGGAGGGCTCGGGGTGCATTTTTTGTGGATTTAAAAAGTTTATTCGGTTGAAGTGGGAGTTAATAGGCTCGAGGAAGGCAGGCTCGGGGAGTGAGGCTGCATTGCCACATGCGGGGGGGAGAAAATGCTAACAGAGGGGATGGAGCCGGGGGGGGGGGGGGTGCACAGCTCCGTTCTGCCCGGCTCCCCTAAGGAGAGGCAACAGCCCGTAGCTGTGGCAGGGAGGATCGGGGCAGGACGGGCAGTGAGGCCTGCAGAAAGCACCTCGTCTGAAACAAAAAGCAGAGAGGAAGAGGAGCCGAGCAGCTGCTGAATTAAACAGAAATTCAGGGGCACACATATATATCCACAAATATTAATATTTAGGCAACCTCTCCGTTTTTCTTGAGAGGTTATTGAGAGAATATTGAGAAATTATTGAGCGATTATTGAGAGACTGTCTAGATTTGGGAGGCTGCATTGACAGAGCTGTTCCGAAGGCAGCCACGCACCCGCAGCCCACCTCGGGCACAGAAAGCAGCGGCCGGCCCCTCCTGCTGTGCCCCGGCTGTGCCCCTCTGCTCCATGAGGACCGAGGGTCGCGGCGCAGAGCGGGGCCGGGCAGCGGCTGCTGCGCCCCTGTGCCAAGTGGCCCCACGGAGGGCACGGGCAGCTCTCAGCAAATACATCGCCTCTCTGCAAATCGGCTTCCAGCCCTCGTCCCGAGGATGAAGCCCCGAGCTGCAAGTTTCTTTCTCCCTGACAAAGTTTTTGCTCTAAGCGTCCGGTTTCCAGCCTTTCGCTCTCTTAAAAGTTGCCCCGAGTGCCCGCACGGTCACCCGGCGCCCTATTTGGGTGAAAACAGCCTCCAAAAAATCGTACAGCCCTCGGGCTCCGCTCGTGTGCCCCCCCAGAGCCACCCCCGCTTGTCAGCGAGAGGTGCTCATTTTCGAAATGCAACATGTCGATGTCAAGTCAGGGAAGAAAAAAAATAAAAAAAAAGAAAGAAAAAAAAAAGCTGTAAATATCTCGAGTTCATCCGCAAGCACTCTGCTTTTTACAAAGTACATTTCAGAAATGATTCTCGTGGTTTCGAGGAGGGGGGAGAAGAGTTAACAAACGATTTTTCTAACGTGTGAAATTAATAAGCCCCGGAGCTCTGCTTCCACGTCCCTCTGTTTCACCTTCGGCACTAATAACCACACACTTTCTCCTCATCTATAAACCGTTCCTTTCGCTATCCCGTACGGATTCGACCCTCCTCGCCATCATTATCTGATATTATAAAAAGCAAAATCTTTCGTCAGCTGCAACAGTTCGCAGTTGGATGAGCTCCAAATGCTGCCTGTGCGGCTCCACGCTGAAAAACGAGGACACGGCACCCCACGGACGGTCAGAAACGAAAGAGCCGAACCCCCGCCCCGCCACCGAGCCGATAAAGGGCAATTTTCAGCTCTAATGATGAATGGAGCGCCGGTGGCGGGGCTCGGGGTGTCGCTCCGCGGCTCTGAGCGCGCATCGAAGGTGCTCGGTGCTGTGCAGCCTCCGAACGAGAAAGGTCATTCGGCACAAACAGCGCATAAAGGAAAAGTACCATCGCGGCAGAGCCCAGCACCCGGACAAGGCACATTTTAAGAGGGAAAGCTGGGGGGAGGGGGGGGGAAGAGAACCGAGAAGTGCAGCTCCAAACCATAGCACATCGGTGTTTACAGACCTGCCCTGAGCCCTGCTCACCTACGGTGATTTCTTTTCGTCTCCTCTATTTCATTCTCTGCCTCCTCCCCTCCGAGTTCCCAAATCGCACCCAACTCTCAGCCCGTCCGCCACCGAGGGTGACCCCCGGCTGAACCACTGCTTCTGAGCACTTTTATTTCAAGTACGTCATTTTAGGGAGCTGGAGCCACTAAAGTTATAAAATATGGCATCCAACTCGTTGAAAAAGCCCTCGCATTTCTGCACCAGCCTGCTCAAAGCGTTGTCTTTTTGGCAACCCGGGTCACGTAGGTAGCAGTGATGAAATATTTTCTCCCTCTCTGGATACCAACCTGCAGCGCAGTCCTCCCAAATCCATTTTGTGCATTGACGTTTACATTCTTTTGCAACAAATTAGTGAGTTGCACTAGGTCCCCCTTGGCAGCCGCGGACGCCAGCTCGTTCCCAGAAGGCTCGGCCATTCTTTAGGGTGACTGACGATCAGAAAAAGATGAGATTTTTTTTTAACCAGGCATGGCATCGGAGACTGACAGAAGGATTGGGATGGTTAATCTTCTGGAGTAGACCTTGTAGTAAATACTCGTAAAGAAACTCCTTGCCAAGAGCCCGCCCCTAACTCACACGTGATTATTCAGCAAAACTGTAGCTCCGCTTGAAAGAAGATTTCTTTGCTTCCACATAGAGAGGAACTCATATTAAAGCCTTTGGCCGGTTGCGAGGGGAAATATATTAAGAGCTATGCGATATACGATATATGTTACATGTAACATATATACACGTACGTACACCGGAGACTCACTCAAACCTGAGATCCTGGAAGAGGACAACCCACCCTGCTCACAGTCGGCATCTGAGCCTCAGCAGCCGCAGCTCCGAGGCAAAGTCTTCACTTTGGGGGTCCGCCCGCCGCATGCCCCGCTCCGGGCCGGGCAGAAGGCGCGGGGCGAGACGCACCCGGATCTCGCTGCCTCCCTCGGCGCTCTCTCTGCCGGCGGCGGCCTCACTCCCTCGGCCTCTCCGCGGCTCCGCGATCCGGGCCGGCGGGGGCCGCCCTGGGCGGCGGCGGCCGCGGGGCATCCACCGGGGCGGCT